ACTGTTTTAAAAAGTCCAACAGCTGTTGATCAATATTACCCATGTATCATCGTTAAATATCACCACTGTTTTAAAAAGTCCAACAGCTGTTGATCAATATTACCCATGTAATATCGTTAAATATCACCACTGTTTTAAAAAGTCCAACAGCTGTTGATCAATATTACCCATGTAACATCGTTAAAGTATCACCACTGTTTTAAAAAGTCCAACAGCTGTTGATCAATATTACCCATGTAACATCGTTAAATATCACCATTGTTTTAAAAAGTCCAACAGCTGTTGATCAATATTACCCATGTATCACCGTTAAATATCTCCACTGTTTTGAAGAAGTCCATTTATTCTGATTGATGTTGCCTGTATAGCATCCTTGAATCTTGTTGCTCTGTGAAGAAATCCACTCCTATTTTCAAATTAACATTTGCGTTCATAAGCTTCGCTTATAAATACGGAATGATTAGTATTTCATCATAATTTATACCACATTGAAAGTTTTACTCATTCAGTTCTAGAGCCACGAGCAATTGACCGAATTACAAGAAAGTTCTAAAACAAGTAGTGTCTGAAGAAAAAAAAAACAGAAACAATTACTCACCCCACGTTGGTAGAAGACTCTATAAACTGGCTTGTATCCCTGACGAATGCTGAGAGGAAGCTTACTACCCACGAGCGATCGTGGTGTCATGACAACTGTATAAAATATTATAAGTGTCATGACAAGGCACCATCTGGTCACTTGTCGTTGGATAGCCGTAAGGTGATTGTGATCGGCCATCTTCGTCTAATGATTTCCGATCAGTCCAGAGTTAAATCGCCTGACAATATTAATTAATTCGAAGATTAAGCGGAAACCGCAAGAACGTAAATTGAAATTGAAATTGATTTCCTCGAACAATCTTCAAACTTGTTCCCGCGCGCGCCAAGAACACGCTGCTAAACACGATCGTTTCTATCTCACAGAAACTAATTTCACTTCTTACGTGAGCTACGGAAAACTTACACACTCATTCACGTTTCTTGCCGCGAGTTGTACTCCACAAGCATATATAGTGGCTTCAGCATGAATGAATGACTTGGAGCGTGCCCACTCTCACATATTAAGAGGGTGTGCAGATTGTACAAAGGAGGAGACTAACAAATCAGTTGCGAATAGGATCGTAAAATAACGCATAGCTAATAAATTGAGGTTTCTACCGTTTTTTTTTTCTTGAGCCATTTTGATATTATTTTCAATAATCTGTGTCTAAGAAAATCTTGGAATAATCCCTTTTTTTAATTGGGAATAATTATTTTCATTTTTTTTATTGGTCTTGTTTCTTTTTATTCTTTTATTAGGATGTTTACATACAAATGAGTAATCTAATATCACACGATATTTGATTCTGAAGATCGTACTTTTAACATGTCTTTCCCACCAAACATGCTCGCTCTTTCAGCCATGGGGGCGTCATAATGTGACGGTCAATCCCACTATTCATTGGTAAAAGAGTAGCCCAAGAGTTGGTGGTGGGTGGTGATGACTAGATGCCTTTCCTCTCGTCTTACACTGCTAACTTAGGGACGGCTAGCGCAGATAGCCCTCGTGTAGCTTTGCGGGGAATTCAAAACAAGCAAACATGTCTTTCTTATGTATACTAAAACTACAAATACTTAACGGCATTAATCACAAATATACAATTGTTCATTAATTTTAAAACAAATATTATACAAATAGTTAAGGTCCAGTTCCGTTGATGGTCGCAAACTGATGTTATTATATATAAAAAAAGCATGCTGTTGCAGAGCTAAAAACATCTAAGAGATGCGTAAGGAGAACCAGCTTTTAAGCCTAGCTTTAACAAGAGAAACATATTCTTTAATTTCGAAAATGAACTGGTTTTGCACCTAGAAACATTTGTACTTGACACGAGAAACTAGCAATTTCAAGCAATATTCTTCCCAGTTTACAAGTTATAACAACTGTGGACAAAACTGTAACAATTTATTTAACTCATCGGTTTATATTAACATTAAATAAGGTTAGGAAAATGACAAGCCATTTCTGTTGAAAAAGAACATTTACTGGTTTGAGATAAACGTTCATTTATGCAATAGATAAGGATTAAGGATAATATAATAATCATTGGTTGCGGAGAACACATGTTATGTATTGTCTGCTCCCGAGATCATCCACCAGCTGGTTTAATCTCCTACAGTCTATCTCTGAAATCATTGTGGTCACAGAATACCTCTCTCTCTCTCTTTCTCCGTCCTCACTGTTCTTCATCAAACATCTGTTTGTATTGTTTAATCGGAAATCATCTGATAAAGACAGTTTTAATCATGTGGTTTAAAATCGGCAAGGTATGGTTATCAGCAAGAGTTATCTTAAATGAAGCTTAAGAAAACAAAGCTGAAACAACTTCTCTAGTTGAAGGGCACGGAGAGAGAGGCACACTTTCATGAAAGCGAGTGGATCCTTGTAACGATCCACATCGAACGTTTCCCAGTATTCAAAAGAGAAACGACCATGGACGCTCTTAAAACAGGACGATTTATAAGTTTTCAATACACGTGAGTCTCTCCAAAGAAAAGTTCCCACTACAAAGAAACCCTATTCATTCTACTAAAACGTATATTATAAAAAGATGTTTGTTTGTTTTGAACTTCGCGCAAAGCTACACGAGGACTATCTGCGCTAGCCATCCCTAATTTAGCAATGAAAGACTAGAGGGAAGGCAGCTAGTCATCATCACCCACCGCCAACTCTTGGGCTACTCTTTTACCAATGAATAGTGGGATTCACCGTCACATTATAACGACCACATAGTTGAAAGGGCAAGCATGTTTGGTGGGACGGGGATTCGAACCCGCGACCCTCAGATTACGAGTCGAGCGCCCTAATCACCTGGCCATGCCAGGCCAAATGATATTATAACTTAGTATTTACGGATTCACGATTCACACTTAATTTGTAGGGGTAAAAAACCAGTGATAAATATATATTAAAGAATGATAGGGCCAGAATTATGATATAATTCCATATAACTCACTAGGGCGGTGGTGATGGCCCTTTCAGATTGGAATTACAAGGGAGAATAAAAATATTTATCATAATTTTTGAATTTGTTAACTTTCTAATAGACATTGTGGGGTTACTATTTTGCCTGCAAGCAGCCATGGATGCTAAATAATAGTCGGTTCCTGATATTTCGGGGTTTAAGCAACAACACTTTGCCCTTTGTAATAATTACAGTTTTTCACTAGCGTTCTAGGAGTGAGTCGGGAGACGGAATACCTGCAAAGCCTTCTGGGTGCTATTGCCGCAGTTACCTTAATAATTTTTCATTCTTATAAATTACACATAAACACACACACACATATATATATATATATAGGCTAATATTCAAAAGCAGCTTGTCCAAGTATTTTGAAACCCTTTTTAGTAAAAAATAATTAAAATTATTTACAAAAAAAATCATACAAATGAATGTGACATCTTAACAGTCACACTAACAACTTTACTTGTAGAAAGCAAAACAGTTAAAACAGTTGTCTGTATATATAACTGCCGATGTGTTCAAAATAATCGGTTAAATTTTTAAACCACCTATTTTTCATTTTCAGCTTCTTTTATATAATTTATTTATACAATAGTTTTGTTTTGTTTTTAAATATTACAATACGGATTTGTTTATTTGTTTTTGTGTTTAAATGCATAGCTACACAATGGGCTATCTGCGCTTTGCCCACCGAGGGTATTGAAACCGGTTTCTGGCGTTATAGCTTTAAGAGTTGTTTGTTTGTTTGTTTGTAATTAAGCACAAAGCTGCACAATGGGCTATCTGTACTCTTCCCACAACGGGTATCGAAAACATGCTTCTGGTGTTGTAAGTCCGCAGACATCCCGCTGTGCCACTGGGGGCGCTTTAAGACTTACACCTGAGCCATTGGCGGAACATAACAGTCCGAACTCATATACTAA